CCCAAAAGAACATGTCGCAAGCCAGGAAATATTTTTAGAAGGAGTGGACTCTGGGGTTCATGAGCCACTTATCATGCGTGAAAAGCTGGAGCATGGAAGGTCACACTGATCACAAAGTGCCATGCAGATGTGAGAGCGCAGAGAAAAGCAGAAAGTTGACGCCGTCAAGAAGATTGGGCTCCAGCCGTCCGTAGACCAAGATGCATGTAGTAGATGTGCAGTGGAGAGATTGGAAACATAATTGTAAATCAATAGATAGCAAAATGAAATGGCAAATTATATAGCGGATGTCTCAAAGAAAGCCTGATTCTGTTGCGGCACCACGCCGAATTGCCGCTGCTGGACCACTGTTGGACCAGACACTACTTCACGAAATTGAGTAGGCTGCATGGTAGTGTACTGCACTGTAGGAGCGCCCACAAATTCACGCCGGATCTCAGTAGGTTGCATAGTTGTTGTGTACTGACGACGCTCGACAGACGGAGCTCCTATCGTTCCACGAATCTCAACAGGCTGTACATTAGTGGTGAACTGGCGCTCAACCACCGACGGACGGGAAGGTGAGATGACTTCACGCGTCTGAAAAAAACTATCGGAAACGAAAGCATGATACCATTAGCAACACAGTTGTTGTATAGTCTCCTTCGCTGGATGCTGGGGTGTGTCATAGAGGCCGGGTTTTAGGAGGCGCTAGCCCACTTCTAGCCCTTTTATCGCATAACCACCACCATAAATCAAATCAAAACCACTTCAGCAATTGGTGAAGAGCTGGCTGACATCGCGTCAAAGCCGGCCCCTGATACACTCCAGCATCCGCAGCGAACAAGACTGCATAATCAGCATTTCCAAGTTCCGACGCTTAGTCTTCCTCTGATTTGCAGCAGTCAAAGCGTGCTACCTTCGCATTCCTAAAAAAAATGCACTGCAATGGAGCTGTAAAGTGGACATAGCTGGCGATTTTTATGAGCTCCCACACCATAAACACGCAACACGCAGCATCTAGCCAGGCGAGAGACACTACTTGTCTGCACCCTCTCACCCTGTTCTAGAGCGCCCTTGTTCTACACAGTTCTCAGGCCATACACCTGGGCATTGTACCAAAGTGCGGGACCAGTGCATCCAAGAACCTCCAGCGATTGAAGGCACATAGTCCAGTAAGCTGTAGAGAACAATAACACGCCAGTTCGAAGGGAGATGGACTGAGTCACAGGCAAATAGTGCGGTTCGCCTGGCTTATGGCACGCCTCGCGGCGTGTTGCGTGCCGCGTGTTACGTTTCTGTGGCGTAACATGTGGGAGCAAGTTACAAAAGAAGACCTAGCTATTCCTCCAATCCATATTTATCCTCGTGCGGATCTATTCACAACGCCCATGAGAAGAATGCACCTCACAGGTGTGCGCAATGAGTGCCTGCGGCATCAAGCCTCTCGTATTGCCACCGTAAACGCAGATTATTTGATACGTTAACTTACGGCACGATCGGTTTTGCATCCGTTTAGCTATTTCTGCAATAATTCTGGCAGATCGTCACCTTATTACAATATCAACAGACCAAATCTTACTATGACAATGCACTATTTGTAACCGAACGCGCTGCGAAAGAGACTGTCTACAGCATCTTTCTCGTCTCAACTAGAGTTTACCTGAAGGAGTGGCGCTGATCTTCGTTGTTCTTCTCGCATGTACGATGGAGCTTCACTTAACCCAGCCTGCAAGTCATCTCTCATATATGACGGTCTGCCTTCGAATGCACCACTCATGTCGGTTCGCAATGCCTCCTCATCTCTGAAAATGAAATTCCCGCTGAAGCTGGGGGAAAAGTGTTATGGAAACACATCAAAATCGGGGCAGTAAACAACTGAACAGCTAAAACTCACAACAAGCTAAGACCTTGTTTTGATAGCCGTTGTTTAGAATTAGCGTCATCGATTAGCCGTGTGTTCACACTTCCTCCCTTGAATACAGAACAATTAATTAAGTGCGTAAAGTAATGGGAAACCTAGACCGCGTAGCAATAAGACGCCCGTTGCCGCAAGGCTTCCGTGTCTGAGGTCCTTGCCTTCCCTGTTCCAATCACCTCCGTCCTAATTTCGCCTTTTACTCTGAACATGTCATGGAAAGGACACCCACGACCGCGCGCGTCCTTTGCATATGTAACTCACCTTTTCTAACATTCGTCGAGCATGTTCCTGCTGTTTTTTCCGCCGAATATTCCATAGAATGCAGAAGAAGATGATAAACACCATAACGATTCCTGCATGATATTTATCGATCAACAACGGTTATTAATACTCAATGTCCGCGCACCTCATGCTATCCAGAGTGCAACGCTGACAAAGTTTTTCTGGGTTATGAATGGAGTAGGGGTCAAAGACTTGAAAACTTTGTACTATACTCCCATGAACAGGCTGGATCATAGTTTTGCTCGCTGCGGACTTTGGGGCATTTTGAGGAGAGGGCCGTGTTCGGCGCGGGCCAGCTTGTTCTCCACCAATTGTGGTCTCTCACCAGCTTCCACAACTGGTGGAGAAAGGCTGGCGCCAAGCCACACCCCGCCCCACCTACTGGAACGCCTCAGCGAACATGACCGTAGATAAAAATCGAGAAAAGAATTTGGGGCACATTTCATTCCTAGAATGAGGATGCTCTTACTTTCGCACCAAGCAGCTAATATCATTGGAATCCCCCGTTTGAAGACTCGAAGTCGCTGCTCGGCTCGGGAGGGGCATTTTACAGCTGGTTACTTTTGTTGATTCCTCTTGAATTACACGCCTCACCGCGGTGAGACCTGTAGATCCTTGTCAAGGGTAAATGAAGCTACTGCTTTTGCATAGCTTTACTGGTCTCCATAGGAGGCACTGGACAGTGATCAGTGGGAACCAGCGACATGCCCTCTTCAACCAAACTACGCCAACTTGAGATCGGAAGTTTTCAAGAGAAAAAAGGAAGCCTCACCAAATATTGACAGCAAAGCAGTCATCCATTTCAACGCGTATTCGAGATTGCGATCTGAAAACGAACAAAATTCAGTACCAGAAACTATCCGACGACCCCAGCATCAAACTTTTCAAGTTCTCATTTAATTTACTGACCTCGGCACCACGCCCACCATCCTGGTGACCACGTTCCGTTACGACATGTTCTCTCTATGTCGCCATGAATGAAGTATTTTGGTTTGCATGAGAATGTTACCGAATCACCATCGAGATAATTGTTGTTCGCTGGAGTTTTGACAACACCTTCTTTCTTAAGCAACGGTCCACAGGAAATCACTGAAATGATAGAGTTTGAAGAACTTTGATATAAACTTGGATCAGATGTCCTGAAGCTCCATGGCTGCGCATTACACCCTCTACAAGATCTCATTAAAAAGCGAACTAACGCTGTTTGGAGCCACTTTTCTGCATCGCTATGAAGTTCTTTTGTTTTCGCAGAGTTGTTAGGCCTATCTCCCTTCGGCCAGTCATCATATAGTCGTATTCACATTGCGAAACACCTTGACAGGTACTGGTCACCTGAACGAATCACTGTCTGATTCAAAGGTCAAAAGGCGCAAGACTGAACGAACGGTAAAAACTAAAAAGCGAAAGAAATAGAAAGTCCAGAAAGTCTTAGTGGGAGGCCGTGGAAACAAAACGCGACCTTCGCATTGAGATATATCGTGTATAATTACAGAAGGAAGCAAAGAAGGCACAACAGCTAAAGGGGTGGGGGGAGGTGCACATCGCATTTTTCCTACTGACGAGATCGGATCCTGCGCAGAAGGAGAACAACTAGAAGTGAAGGGCACAGTTAAGTAGCGCATCTGGTTACGCTGAGTCGGTACCACGCTGTGCGGGCGGAGTTGGAAGACGGTATTTCGAAGACGGTAATTTTGGTGCACCTTCGGCGCGAGAAGAGTTGATAAAGTGGTTACGCAACTGCGGACCCTTTAACTCGCAATGGGCAAAGGACCGATGGTCCACGGCGGTGAGGTTACACTTTTGTTTTTGAGGCACGCCGCATTACGCCGATTTGCAGACGCCTTCCTCAAACGCGACAATCCATCCCGTAAGTGCAGATGATGTATCGCTCACAAGTACGTGATAAGGACGCTAGGTGCTCGTGATGAAGGCAATGTGCCGCCCATTGCCCAAAGCAACACCCAACCTTAGTTCTCAAAGGATTCTTGTTAGTGCTCTCAAACTGGTGGTTTTCATTTCATATGGTGAGAGTGAAGTGTAAACTCTCCAAGCACGCCTGCTTCTTCGCCGTAGGCTCATACGTTTTTGGACCGGTAGGAGACCCACCGATGATATTCGCATGCTTCCTGGGTCTTTTTCTACCGTTGAGTCACTTAGCACCATGTCACAACTACCCATCAACTGTGATCGCAGGAGGTGCCTCCAAAACGCCCTTCTGACAGGAAATGAATGCGTAGCGGATCCAAAATGAATTGTTAGACTCAAATTTCAATTCCAAGAAGATAGTAATCAGTTTCTGTTGACATATTGGAGGAGAATGGTAATTACCAAGCAGCACCTGTTCCATTGTGAAAACTCTTGAGGCGTTCATATCCAGAAACTGAGGCCAAAACACAGGGGTGTAGTCGGTTGAAGCGAACAGTAATGGATTATAGATAGGCTTGAACTGCTCGCTGAATAACACCGATCCAATCTTGTCGTTTTTTTCCATCCACTCGCCCTGAAAATTAGTCCAGGGTGAATACTGATCCGCGACCATTCAAATCATCAGTCATTAACGGACATGTATGTAATCATACACACGCAGAAGTTTGTCGATCCTCCCTTTCAACGTTTCTCAAAACCGGTCACGCGTCTCGTTGAAAAACAGCGAAAATGACAAAATAAACTCATTGGCAAATAAGCAAAAAAACGATCACCGTCTATTAGATTGTGTTTTAACAAGGATTGCAGTCAAGATGTTATAACCCTCAGAAAGGCTGTCATCAAGAGGAAACGCGCAAGTGAACTCACAAGTGACTCCAAATTGTTCGTAGATCATCTGTGTTGTACTGGCTGTGTATTGTGCCAGTAGACCGAGTGACCTGGGTCGAAGACGATCAGGTGTTCATTACGGCTGCGTTATTATAAGTACGCCTGAAACACATAAGCTCGATTGCGAGAAAGCATTTTTTGCTTTCCGACAATGTTTTAATCAATATTTTTGCGCGAGCGGTGAGCTTATCCAATTCAACAGTAGCGGTTTGATGAAGATGGGAGGTGACCGTTTCGGACGAGGAGATGTTGGGAAATGCAGCGTTCAGACTTGACGACGGCTGCGATTCGGTAGCGCGATCCGACGATCGGTGGGCATGCTTTCGAGACTGGCATCGACTCGCGTCAAAACTGCGGCGAACGAAGCGCTGCGTCCGAAGATCTGAAACGCTGCAAAACGTTAGTGAAAACAGTTGTAGGCAGAGGTACCTGACCCAACACAGACTGGACATTACAACCTATGAATGAATAATCGTGACAAATAGAGAAATTCAAACAGTGTAACATTGCGCAGGTGAATCTTGTGTACGGTTAAATTTTCATAGTAATCCAAGGCCGCTGCTGTTATCACGAACTTGGTGACCTGAGGGGTTTCTGCGACGGCACTTATGCCCAGCGCGAGCACTAATGTGATCAGGTGGAACGAAAAAACTCTGTTCATAAGTCAACGCGATTTCCTGGACAAATTTCTGGCAGCCGTAGGGGCAATTTTTTAGCGGAAGATAACAGGTAATTCCTAAACATAATAAATGGGGATGTCGAAAAGTTATAAGCTGAAACAGATTGCCTCATTTCTAGAAAACATACTCCCCATAAACCAAAGTCGTGTAGCACCGAGTTGTCCCATCTACTGCATTTAACGAAGAAGAGGCGGTGACACCTGGCTGCAACATAAACATCAGAAACATAAAACGCTAAAAGGGAAGCTTAAACGTTGCACTTGCACGTGGTATTATAGCTGGGTGGAAGTGACACTAACACATCGAGCATACCATAACTTTCATGTACTCGAATACCAATGCCAGACTTCAGCATAATAATTATTTCAGACTGATTCATGTTTTGTAGTGGATTGCGCAAATCCACATCTAAACAGCTGATCATTTGAAGAGCAGCACTAAAGGAGAACTTCTCAATTAATTCACTCTGGAACTGTTTGTACTGTCCAGTGAGGTTTTGTCAAATGAATCGCTGGCCATCTACATAGACATCAGTGCGGTAACGCCACCGACGCATTGGCTTGCGAGCAAACACCTGAAGAGGAGAATCAGTCGCATCATGTCCCCAGGGATTTCGGATACCTCACCTGTACTACAGAGCTGTCATTTTCTTGAACAGCAACTCCAGTGATCACAGTGGCGTTCACATGCGAATGCCCTGAAATAACCATTCAAATGGAAGATAAAATTTTCAGCTAATGAAAAGAAAGGGCACTTATTCCAGCACGCACGACAAGTGGCAGACATTCCACGGGCGCGAACGGTCGCGGAGAAACTCGCTTACATTTTTTTGTAATTCATAGCAATTAATAACGCACTATTAGAAGTTGAGAAATACTGTGGGTATCGAATGTTTTTTCTCCCCAGCAGACTTCTGCGGATATGACACAGAGGCAAAGGCTGGCAACGCTCGCATAGGCAGCACTTTATGCAGTAGAAACCCCCGGACTCGCAGTGTCGGTGAGCCCTGCCCTTCAGCGCTGAGCAAAGTCCTTTCCTCAGCTCCGGTTTTTTAGTTTGTTGTCATATTTAGCGACATAGAATTAGGTTGGCGGGATAAGTTCTGTCACTTTTTTAAATTGGCTTTCTCTCTTTATTAGATGAGGCGTGTAAGGATCGAAAATTGTACGCATGCCACTGGTTGCCGTTTTTTGAACAGCCTCATTGATGGCCGTCGCTTCCGCAATGCACGGGATGGCGCGAAACAAATACTGGACTCACCGTCCAGTTCTTGGCTTAACTCAGACTTTTCGAGGTTTTCTCGTAATTTCTCGTCCAGTAATGATTGATTACGGGAGGCAACTCGCAGTTAGAAGGAGCAATGTCTGTGCTACACCACTGCAAGGGGAGAGCCATCCAGCTCTATTGCATGAGGAACGGCTAGAACTTTTTTGGAAGTGCGCTGCACTATCAGAAGCATTTGGAGGGGTCGGTGGCGATGGTAGTGGATAACATTCTTGTCATACTGCATAAGAAAAAGCAGGATGAAGCGAGCCGGTACTGAATAGAAGACCACTCTTTGATGATTAAGTGTCTCACATTACCCGTTCACGAGAGGGGGCCGTTCCAGGTATTAGGCGAATTTTTCGGTTCGAAAAGAGTGACAGAACTTTTCCGCCAACCTAAATAGATTCGTGAAAGCGTTATGACTGGACTTTGGTTCCATAATAAAAGCGTTTCTATCAAAAAATAATTTTCACGAAAGACCACATAAAGTGTCGTCTGGCTGCTCCAACCGTACTTGAACCATCAGTTTATGAGCAGGATCATCGCTCATAACCAACACGAAATAGCCTTTTCCTGGGAAAGATATTTAGGACGCCATCGAATCGTGACCAGATGCGGCTCACCGTACATGGTATGTGGAATAATCAACTATGGCCCCGAATTTGCCAGTCATAGCTCTTCTCTCATAGTGGGCCGCAGTGTAAAGTCATTTGTCAATGCGTCACTGTACTGTTAGGCAGCCGCCGCGATCCCGGCTGAACTGCCTCCAACTTAAACGGAAAACGCGAAGTTTTTTCTTGTTTTGTTGGTCAAAGAGGTTGTTAGGTGAAACTCTTCATTGGAGTTAGTATGACGCCTCCGAACTAGAGAGGGACTCAGGGGCCTAAACATGGCTCAAGGTCTTGAGCGCACCTATACTTCCTAGTTGATCAGTACGCTCAAAATGCTAAAAAATATGCCGTACACTCCAAACGTCTGTGCAGCACAAAGTATGAAACACTCTAAAAGAAGAGATCTCTACGTATGCTGCCACATCACGTTCTTCTCAACGCGACAACGAAAGAGCTCAAGAGAAGCTGACTCGAAAAAGATTAGAATACGTTGGGTCTTTCCATGTTAGGGTTTACCACAATTATCATATTTCGTGTCTCAAATCGAAGAAAAGAAAACTGACGACCAGACGGTGGTGCTTTTGTAACCCTGGCAGCATTTTGTCATAACGCGCAGTAGTAAATTCATCAGTGTGTGCATCTCTAACAACAAATAATGAGGTGACGAGAGCTTCAACGGAAGCAATGGCACCCGACATAAGATTCTGCTTCTTTTGTGATAATCTATTATCCTCCACAAAGACTAGCGCTCCTCACCTATTTAAAGACAGCTTCCGCGATATTAAAGGGCTGTTTCATAATTGCTGATCAATTATGAAACGAGCAGCCTGACAAGTTAATCTCAATGAATGGAAAAAAAGAAACACAGAGCCCTCAAGAAGCATCCATATTCCAAATCGTGGACGCTGACGTCACACTTCCTGTGGTCTTGGTCATGCCTTGTCAGCAAATCACTTTGTCACATCTCATAGTGAATCTCATCGAATGGCGAAGAAAAGAAATTCAAAAAACAAACAAAAACATAAGGGAAAATTCTTGAAAAAGAAAAGGAAATCATTGCAAAAGACGGGCGGTCGGCGAACCCAGGTTACGGTAGCGAGCATGCTTTAGTGTAGTGAAGTGCGTCGAGCTTTTGCACCACAGAAATTGCATCATTCGTGATTTTTACGCGTTTTGCTAGATGGGTTGCTGTTGAGCTGTAATGTGCTTCCTAATGATAAAAATGTGATGAGGAGAAGTAAAGAATGGTTTATGGGCTCGAGCGGCGGTCAGTCAAAAAAATACTATGCAGGTTTCCGGATTAATGACTACGCGCCCAACAAGGAACGAACTGGGGAGCGGCTCTCCGTAGTAGGGCTAGCTAGTAAGGCGGTCCAACTGAGCGTGCGTTAGACTTGAACTTTGAGCGGTTCTAGCTCGCTTCTCGCTCGCTGAGGAGTCGCGAGAGTGAGATAGTATCTAGCTTGGGGGCTGAACTACCTTGCCCAAGGAAGGACGACCATGTACTACTTGAGCGCGGGGGCTGTTTTTTGAAGGGCGATACGAGAAAAAACCAAATTTAAGGTCGGCCGTGATTTCAGAATTCAGTATAAATGAAGATCATAATAGTGGTACTGAGAAACTTACGTGCAACACGTTCTGTATGGCATGAGATCCAGTTGATAATTTGACATTGTTGGAATGAATGGTGGCTGACGGAACGGTGACGCACCAAACTTGTGCGCGCGAGCTGGTGTACCCGGTTGGAAAAACCTGTAATATAACTTGAAAGGTCAGTTGCTGGAAACTAACATGGTAGCGAAAATCTGGACTGATGAACAAAATTAGCTGAAACATAGAAGGTTGTAAAATACAGATTATGGTCTCTTCCAATCCCCTCCTGCTGGAACCATTAACGGCGTTTATCACTTTGGCGAAGCATAGGGAGCAAGCGCATCCGTAAAAAATTGATCGGGCGAACGGGCCGTTCATTTATGGATGAAGTTCGAGCTATTTATAGTCGAAGAAGCACGGTTCTTCTCCAAGAGCACGGCTTTCGCCCATTCGCGAACTGTCAAAGCGACCGTACCTGTTATAATCACCATCCGGTTCCCAATCATCAGTGAACATTAGATATCCGTCATAATCGTAGCAGCACTGCTGTGATGAACCGGTTGAGCTGAAATTGGAAGCTCTTAGGATTTTCAACAGCCAAAGAATGAAAGAAAACGTTTCAGCAGATTATTTGATGGACTCTTTCATTGCTAAGAAGCAACCCAGCGAAAAACTAACAATTAGTGCTGTTTTTTTCATGTAGAAGTAATCAATACCAAGGCCGCGTTTATACTTTGCGACATCAGAGAATGAAGAGTAGTGGAGTAGTGGAATGTGGTAAGAAGAGTATAAGTATCGATCCAGCGAAAAGAAGAAGAGCAGAGTCAGAGAAAGCGCAAGGCGAGAGTATATGTGCCAAAGAAAGCTGAGATCCGATCGACTCATACCCTTTCACAGTCATTATCACTGCAGTCAGTCGGGGCGGATAGGCGTGTCAGCAATGCGTGGGTTTTGGCGCGGAGTCAGGCCGTTTTCGTTCTCCATCGATCGCTGCGGCTTCGGGAGTTGAGTGGTGGAAAAGGGGCTGCCGCTGCATCAAAACGCGCACCTGGCTGGCACGCCCCGAATGACTTCAGTGATGATGACTGTAAATTTTAATTATAAGTTTACCAATTCCCGCAGTCTCTAACTCTCTTATTCTCGCAGTTCGCTAGCGACCGGAGTCAATCGATTCCTACTGGCTCCCTTCGCGGATTATCCTATTCTCTAACGCTGCAAAGTGTGAATCTACTGAAAGCATGCAAGCAATTGACCAACCTTGGCTGAACGCCTTGAATGCAGTGCTGAGCTCCTTTGTTGACTGGACATGATGTATCGCCATCCTTGTCACAATCCATAATGGGCATATATCTACCAAGATCAAGCAGGGCCTGAAACCAGATGTTTAGGGACTATATCAGCCGTAATCGATGATTCTTCACAAGCAACACGAATACATGGTTAATGAAAGCATCTTTCAGTTAGTCATCCCAGGAACAATAGAGGATATTGATTGGTTGGCTTTGCCACAACGCGACCGCTCGCGTCAGTGGTTGATAATCGCACATTTAGCTAGATTAGCAATAATCATAATCAGTACCTGAGACATTTTACATGGGCAGGGGATGTCTTTTGTGAGATCCATCTGGAAATTTCTGCGTTTACCATCGTACTCAAACCATTCAATACACATATCCAAGGCCCAGTTCAAGCCATAGTGCTTCTTCCAATCCGGTAAATAATACCTGCAGTAAAAAAAACTTATAACCATGTATTAGTTTGTTACTGCAGATTTCAATGATTCTAGAACGTCTCAGGAGTAGCTAGAAGAATCGATAATCTGTTAGAATCAACACTGACCAAGGGAACGGCGTTGGCCTACTCCACAAAACACCATCTTCTGTATCTGACAATGATACACGCACGAATCCAAATGTGAATTTTTGCCAAGCATTCTGTAAACCGATAGATCGATCACAACTGTAGCCTTACCGATTGCTATGAAATAGATCAGAGGATTTGATACCGATTACCTTAATCAGCGGTTGCCGTGTAAGCGAAGCTGGTTTAAATGAGTAGGAACCAGAGTTCGTGACACCTTTAGCCAAATAGTCCACTTGAACAAAATGAGATCTATAAAGTACAAATACTCTTCAGGGCTACGGTAGGGTTACGGTTGAATTACTAAATCAATACCGCACCGATCGGCATCTTCCCAATAGCCGAAAAGACTAATATCAACACGAGCACCAAAGTTGTACGTTAAATTCAACGCTTGCCAGGACATTGTCAACGTTTCGGCATACGCTGATACCTACAAGCGTTCCAAGCGATCAATATACGGAGCTATCCAATCAATATTACCCTTACCATCGATTATTAACGTCGTCGACATCATCCTTTAGTGATATTGAGCGCCGTTCAACACTGCGCGACTCCCGTACCACTATAAAAGATACACATAAGTATAAAATCTACTATCGTGAAGTTACGTCATATCTTCCACGGTTGTGAAATAGATGCTGCCTTGACCCGCGTGGGAAGCGCCACGCGTTGCCCACACTGCATCATTATATGATATTTCAGCTAAACACAACGCGTTCGTATTGTCGGTCATAGATATTAGCCGTTCATTGACTGCAACTGTAGCAGATGAGCAAAATTCTGTGCCTTTTGGTAGCTTCCACTTTACTTGCTGTATATGGGCGGTAAAAAAGAAATATACTATGGCTAAGGCTGTGCCGTCATCAAGTACGCAGAAAAGTACGAGCAGCTTTATTTACAAAAGTCAAAGCCAGGCGCGACGACAGCACACTACCTGCGCGTCCCAAGTACACATTTGTTCGCAGCGAATGATGGGGCGTGTCAGTGACTCGAATTTGGCAAGCCGCAGCTCGTTCTACACCAATTGTTGAAGCAGGTAAGCGTCAAGAATTGTTGGAAAACAGCCGATACTATTGATATAATTGACCTGTCGCCCGGCGCAAGAAAAAAAAAAAGAAAAGAAACGGACAAGCACCGCGTTGAACTCCCTTGCCGACACGCCCCATCATACGCATGCGGACAAGACTGTACCCCGTTGAAAGGCAAGAAACTTACCAACGTAGAATTTGCCAAAAAATGGGAAACTTTGACCGCCATCACGACTCATTCGAATGGAAACAAGACCAGTTTTATGGAACATCGGCATGATACATCGCGCTCTGACTCGATTCAAACGCTTACAATCAACTTGCCAATTTTCAAAATTGACCTGAAATAAACGAAACGCTACTGAGCTGGCCATGCAAGAGAGAAAAGTATTCAAAGCGATAGGTAGCACTTTTGGTACGACACTTTGCTCTCACCTTGATGTTATCAGTAGGCCTCAGACATGGTCCTGACACATTTATTGCCATACCACCTTGCATGGGACCCCATGGAGGCGCTGTGATCATACGACCTGCAAATGAACTGTTCATTAACAATATATGAGAGCAATGTAATAGCAATATTGTCATGGTGGTGGAATCAGCGAGGTTAGGGGTGGCAACCCTACACAAATAAGCGACTGTGTCTCACCAGTAGATGCATTTGTACATCCTGCAGGTATGATCACCTCGTCGATACGGTGAATCCATCGGCCAGGTGTGAGCACATTAGAAAAGTAGCCGAGTTTCCAGATACGTCCTAGAATACAAATGGGTATCACTCAACACAATCGGAGGCCATATCCACGATTAGCTGATGGGAGTTCTGTCAAGGACGAACGACCGACTATCAAAAGGCAGCGTTCAGACTTCGTGATGAAGCGGGTCGAAGCGCTGCACGCGCGTCGACGCGCACCGTTGCAGCAGTGCTCAAATCACGACGTGAACGCAGCCATAATGGACTATCGATCAGCACCACAGCTTTGAGAAGGTATGAGAGAACAGAAGGATACGCGATGCGTCACACAGTCTGGCACCCTCCTATCCTTGTGTACTCTCCCAAAACACTAGCAGCCGGCGCCGATCGATACCTGCTCACGGTTGCGTTAGCGTCATTGGAGCGCGATTTCAATGGAAGCGCGTCGATTCGCGCTATCGCGAGGTCTGAACGCTGCCTAAACCTCAACGAGGTTCAGCGATAATCGGCGTCACGACTTAATACTACAACATGCAGTCAGTCTACATGAAGTACATTCAAGCCAGCAGTTCCGAAATAGCAATAAAACATAAAAAGGTGCTAACACTGTTGGGGAAGGGAGGGGGAAGGACCGCTCGACCGCTTCTAGTATTTAGAGCGCGTTCTGAATTCGCGATCGCGCTACAGTGGG